AACCACACAGACTGCTGGACCTCACCTCTGCACCCCTGTTTTGACGGGCTGAACGGGGAGTTGGCACATGCCTTCCTGCCGCCCCGTGGGGAGATCCACTTCGACAACCATGAGTTCTGGGTGCTGGGCAGGTCTCGCTTCAGCTGGAAACAGGGTACCCTGCAGCCCCACACTGCCTGCCTCGCTCCCTCTCTTTCCTTGTCTCCCCTCCCTGCCTGTCTCCGTATCTCTCTCCACTCTCCCTCTGTCTGTCAAATTTAGACTCAAAGCACTTTGTTGTCCTGACCAGTGAGTTACAGTGTTGCCAAAGCAATACCAGTTAGCAAAACATTTACACACATTTACAACAAAAACATGACAATGGGAGCATAGCTTGTGCTCTCTGGATAGCCAGGTTTGCCAATGTCCAGTTACTGTGACCAGGGAGTAGTCACAGAGCATGTCCTCTCTGGACAGTCAGGTCAGCCTGTCTCCAGTTTCTATGGTCCAGGCCGTTGTCACCCAGGCTGTCCATTCTGGCTGGCCAGGTCAGTCTGTGTTCAGTTTTGTGGCCACTGAGCACTGGCTAGGCTCATAGTGTCTCAGAATTGACCTGCTTGTGCCTGCTTGTGTGTGTGTGCTGCACTGGACTGGCTCTCCATTCAGGATGCAGTTCTTACTCACACCCTCTGATTTTGGGAAGGGCTCATGGATGCTCTGACCCTCAGTGGGAAAAGTGACTTTCTGATAATGGACAAATAGACAACAATAAAACTCAATATCTCAATATCAGCACTTGTCATGAAGTCCTTTTAAATCATACACTGATTTAGATGCACTCTGCTCAGTTCTAAAACTACCATTTATGAGCCCCAGACTGGTTAGATGAAACTCTATTGCTCAGCACAGCCGGCTGGATTGTACAGGAACGAAGCAAAGTCGTGTTTATTAGAACTGGAAATGTGACACAGATGTCTTTTCGGCTCACAAAGAGCTTTCCACTTTCAAACAGTCCCTGAGCTCACAGACTGAGCTCACAGACTGCACTTAACAGACAGCTGGCAGCACAATGCCTGTTCTCTGTCCCTAAATACCAACAACATAAATACCATAACAGTCGAAGTGATCTGTCGCTGTCTGAGCAGGCATTAATAATAATAAGCTGTCATCAAACTCATGAGCTGTGAAATACTCACGTACTGCATCAGTGGGCGTGAGCTACGACTGTCAGAAACGTGGCGGATGACCCGACTCCTGCTTGTGCTGCGCAGGGGTGTGGCTGAACGACCTGGTGCAGGTGGCCGCCCATGAGATCGGCCACGCCCTGGGGCTCTGGCACTCCCGCCAGCCGCAGGCGCTCATGCACCCCAACGCCACGTACACCGGCCAGCGCACCATCTCCCGCGACGACGTCTGGGGCATCCAGCGGCTTTACGGTGAGCC